AGGTAAATTGTTTATCTTCTAAGTTATTCTCTTATTTCTAGACAAGAATAAGCTAAATATACATTCATTACACAAGATCAATGTTTGAGACCATCAGACGAACATTTGCTAGTAGCAATACTAGTCAACGTATGAAGAGCAAGTATGTTTGATACATTATTATATTAAAAAAACAATGTTTTGTTTTTGTTTTTTGATAAAAGATCTGCACATACAATAGTAGGAGCAGCAGCGCCAGCAGATAGTAATGAAGAAACAGATTCATCATTAAGTGATGATTTTAAAAGTATACAAAATTCAATTGTTTCTATTAATAGACCATCATCAATTATTCTTAAAAGGTATGTAAGAAATTCTATATAATTAATTTTTTCAATGAATATCAACAAAGAAGAATTAATATAAAGAAAATATATTAAGTTTTCATATAAGAGAAATTCTTGTTAAAAAGTAAAGGATAAAAAGAAATTAATAACGACCTTAAACTTCAACATCTAATTTACTGATGAAATTATTTCACGGTCATTTCAAACGTATATATATATATATATCAACAATAATTATTGTAATATGATATAACTATTTAATATATAAATTATCATTTAGTTTTGCTCCAAATCCTTCACCATTACCATCAAGTCCAAGTGTCCATGATGAAAATACTCCATGGCTTCATGAAAATATAACTAGGTAAACTAAAAAGATCATCTAGATATATATAATAATAAGTATATCGTGATTAGAGAAGCTGTAGAAGATGCATTATCATGTCGTTCAATTGGTAGTTTTCTTGTTCGACGACCAACATCTATAACATCAACAAATACTTATGTTCTTTCAATTCGTGTACCAAAATATATGAAACGATCATGTGTTGTTCATTATTTAATTGATCAAGATAGTGATGGTTATCGTTTAAGAGTAAATTTATTTTTAAATTATTTAAAATTTAAAATTTTCTTTTACAATTATTTCAAGGGAACAAAAAAAGTTTTTCCAACATTAAATTCATTTATTGTACATCATTCAATTGTTGCAGAAAATTTACCTGTTGTTCTAAATTTACGAGCTTATACATCATTACATACAATGGAAGATGATGATTTTAATGGTAAAGTAGCACGTAATGAATATGTAATATAAACAAAACTAAATTTAAAAAAAAAAATGAATGCATTGAAGAGATTTTTTTTTTATATTGATTAAATTTTATTTAATAAAAATAAATATATGTATAACGTTGTGTCTTGAAAAAAAAAGAATAAATTCTTTTCAATTATGGAAAATTAAAGTTGAAAGATTTTTAACAATAGATATGAATAAAGTCGATTGTTTTTTAAAATCAAAATCATCTATTGATCAGCAGATTCTGAGATTTTTCTATAAAATCTTTCTATATATGTCTTATCATCAAATGAAAGAAATTAGACCTAGTATAAATATCTAATGTCCATTTCAAAAAAGAAAAGGCAAGTAGGAATTTTTTTTAAGAACTTTTAATAGAAACAAGATAGAGAGCTGAGGTTTTCACCTTTAGAAAGTGAAGATGAAAATGCATCGAATCATATATTACAAATTTTTTCGACCTGCTTTTTTTAAAGATTTTCAATCGATTTTTTTGAAAACCAATCAGTTTGTGCATACGTAACACACCCACCCATTTTTGACCTTCAGATTATCATAACTCAATAAGTAAAGGTGACAAAAAGTTGAAACTTCCGCTGTTTGTAGATATATGAAGGTACTAGTTTCACTAAAGCTTTCATTTCATTTAGCTGAATAGAAAGTCATGGAAACACGCTCATCTAAAAGAACGTCTTGCATCAGAGCGACTCAAAAAAAGTCCACTCTGAACAAAATGTTTTAATTTCTGTTGGTAGCTAAAGTAATAGATCTTACGATAGTTAAATACTTTTCTTTGGAAGTTTTTTCCTACAACGAGTTATAATCAAAACACTAAAGTAAAGCACTCTTCATTGATTTTATACTATCTAAAAAAGGACATTTTTTTACAGCTTTGACAGCAATATCAAATGATCTACTGATGTCAAATTTGATTCTATTGTTTTTTTTTCTATTTTTAAATCATACACTAGTGTTTGAAATATGGTAAAAGACAATCGAATTCTGTTTTCATCGTTTTTGCACAAAAAATGCTTGAGTATAAAATTAATGACATCTATCGATAGAGAGTATATGAAAACCTACAAAAAATTTTTTGAGTGAATCGTTTCGCTCGCCTTATATTATAGAAATCTTCTGCTGAACTTTGAACAAACATGGTCCATTGCAGCTGAACATG